TCCCTTCTAGGTTTTGCTGCCAATGAACCTTTCAAGTCTGGGTTAGATGGAGCTCTGAGCAACCTGGTGCAGTGGAAGTTGTCCCTGCCCATGGCAGGGTGGGCAGAACTGGATGAGATTTGAGCTCCCTTCCAACCCAAACCATGATTCTCTCCAGAGGGCTCTGGATTTGAAGATGTTGGAGAGCAGCTCTACATCTGCTGAAAGCATTGGGAAGTTTTGCAGAAGGCAATCTGTGGGAGAAATAGGTGGATATTCTTGGCAAGAAAAAAAAAATCTCAGTTTCTATTAAATTTGTTCTACCCTATTCAAGCTCTGTTCAAGACGACTTCTGCAGCTCATGGTACAATTGCCAGCCTGGAAGTGTCAGATGGAGCAGATAGTCCTGTGGGATTCCCTGGCCTTGCAGATTTCCTCTTCTAAAGCTGGAATTGTCTGGCCTCACCTCCTTTCAAATGCAGACCAAACACACCCTGACAGTGACTTAGACATCAAAGCTGGGCTCTCCTTCCATGTGTTCCTTTGGGCCCAGCTCCCTGTGTGGCTGTCTGGGCGCTGCTTCCATTGAGATTCAGATTGGCAGTGCTGGCTCTCGTATATAGCTGGATCTAAGAGTGCACAGCTCTGGGGCTTCCCACCTTCCTCCTCCCCCCCAGTGCTGCACAGTCAGACAGGGAACACACCACTGCTTCCCTCTGGCTCACAGACCGAATCCGTGGGGCAATCCCACTGGCTGCAAAAACAGCCCGGCCGTTCCGACCAGGCCACCCACCCTAGCAATGATGGATGCGGTTGTGTTTGAGGTTGAGTCAGCTTCCTCCCCACCTCCAGCCTGTGCTGCTCCAGTGGCTTCGTGCCTCCTGTCTTTGTGCTGGGCAGAGGAGGCCAGGTCCCCCTTTTCTTGTGGGAAGAGAGTCCCAAGCCGATGGTGCTGGGAGAGGGACAAACCCGCCGGCCTGGGGGCTGATGTGGGGGTCAGAGGAAGGGGGTTGGCCTTTTGAGCAAAAGCCACACTAAATTACAGGAGTGCTGAGAGCTGTGCCACTATGGGCAAGGGCAAAACACAGTCATTTGTCAAGGTTAACCACTGCCATGGAGCTGGGGTGGGCAGCTGGAAGCTGTGGTGCAGCCACCGCTGCGCCGCGGCCTCTCCGAGCACGTGGCCATGGGCGCTGCCATTCAGGAAAACGGCTCAGGAATGCTTCCTTCCCTTACACCTACCAGCTGCACCTTTTAATTTGGCTTTTCTGGGATTGTGTACCTAGTGGTGATTTAACACATGGTGAAATGTTTGGGGAATGGTTCTGTCAGTGGACAGCCAGGCAAGGGAAATCCTTAGTCTGCTTTGGATGTAGACACTGTGTTTTCTTTGCTCAGCTCCTTTTTAAGACTTGCTTTGTTCCTTTTGACTTGCCCCTCTCTGAGACCACCCTCCTTCAGGATATCATTGTCCACACATTGATTTAAATTGGGATCACCCTTAACGAGCCCACGTGGTAATTCAACACACTGTTCTTTCCTCCCGACACTGGCCAGAGGTTCTTCCCATTCCTGTTACTGCATCCTCTCAACCCAAAGGGACTGCTCTTGTTTCCACACTCCTTCTTGGTGTTTTCCAGGCAGGCTGTAAGATGAGAGATGTGTAGGAGAACTGATGCACCGAATTCAGGGTGTTCAGATGTGGTTACTGCTGCAGGGCAGTGGTGGCAGACCTTGCTGTTTCTCCAAGTTGTCATTTGCTGTCTGTCCTGGAACAGCTGGGACATTTGCACATGAGATGGAGCTGCGCTTCTGCCTCCTGGTGGGAGCTGACTCCTGGATGGAGGTGTCATGCCAGGCTGGATCCCCTGTCCTTTTTGGGGTAACAGGAACTGCAGCAGTGCTGGAACGCTGCTTAAGATTTACCCTCGTTTTTGGCAGGCAGGAGGTGTATGAAGCTGGGCTGCACTGTGATTAGAAGGTGCTCCCCGTTGAGTGCTTGATGGTAAACACTGCCAGAAACAGTGGGATACAGGAATCCCTGTGTCTGCATGGTCCAGCTCATTTGCACTTCTTCCATTTCCTTACCCAGCTCAGGGAGCCCTACTCAGGCTTTTCCAAGGCCAGCTGTGTCCTAGTTCTGTGTTTCATGGCTGAGCAACATCCCCTCAAGAGCTGCCCCTGGGAAGTGTGGAAAGGGGAATGGCTGCAGCTTGGATTTGGGGACAAAGGAACGGGCTCGGCACAGCAAATGGGTTAAGCACAGCTGTGCAGAGGCAGGAGGCAGCCTGGAATATGGTGCCTGGACTGGGAACTGGTTCCCAAGAGCTGTGCAGAGGCAGGAGGCAGCCTGGACTGGGAACTGGTTCCCAAGCTTTCTCTGCTCCCCAAACTTTCTGACTCACATCCTGTATCCACCACCATGGTGTGCACATGCTGTCTCTTGCTTCAGGCATGTTTCAGAATCTTACCAGAGTCCTCCTGAAATCCATAAGTGAAGCACTGTTCCACTTTAAGCAAAGCATTGGTCAGACCCATAATAAACAGCAAGCTCTGACATTTAACACATGTAATACTGTTTGCCCTGTTTTAAAAAGGAAATATTATCTAAGCACTTCTCAGAAGACTAGAGCCACCCACGCTTAGCTGTGCTCGGTTTGGCCAGTCTGACCTGTGCAATATTGCTATCACTTCCAGAATATAACATTCTGAACCCCTTATAAATTGTGCAATGTACTGAATGAAAAGTTTCTCTGTATGTTTAAAAATCTCCCCTCCCCCCGATACTTTTTGTGATAGAGAATAAATAAAGAAAAACTTTATAACTCCCTGAACTGATAGAAAATTAGCACAGTCATAAAAGGCATCTGTGGCTTTAGCAGTGCAGCTGAAAAGGAAAAATGAATAAACCTGCCACTCATAAAGTAAGAGGCAGAGCTGAAGAATGACTGCTGCCATTTTAGTCTCCTGGCCCTTCTCCCCCCTGTGCAAGAGCAAAAATAGCCTCATGCCCTGTGCAGGAGGCAAGGAAGTGCTCTGCTCTGGGACCCTTCCTGCAGGCACCGCTCAGCAGCGAACCGCTGTACAGCACATGACTAGAGGATATCCTAAATTAATTTACATAGGCATATAAATATATGCATGTGTGTGTTTTCTGTATGAAATATGAAACCAGCGATTTCTTAGCCAACCCCTTAATTTGTCTGAAACAGCACAGGCATAATGGAAACTGCCCACACATTTTTCCATTGCAAGTTACAAAGGTAAAGAAGCGGGAAATGGGTGATAGAAAAACACAGGCTCTTTCCGCTGGTACAGAAACGCCATGGAGCAAAGTGGCAACACACACTCACTCCAGTTTGCTGGGAAAAGTGTCATGTTTATTCTGGTGGTCTTCCTGCTGATGCTCTCCTCCTCAGCACGCTGGATTCTGTGTGTTTGGAGGGGAGGGACGTGGCCGTGCTGGTGCCTGTGCAGGTGGATGCAGTGGACATGAAGAAATTCGAGTTTGTCCATATCTGCCTTGCAGGTTTCCTCCTCTGGGTGAGAAGGAGCCTTGCCATGTCACTGCCCCTTGTGTAGTGCTGCACGGTCCTGTGGGTGACAGTGGAGCTGCAGAGTACCTGAGCCAGGGTGGGTTATGAACAGGCTCCCTGCCTATGCCAGGAGCAGCAGGTGCCAGTTTCTGCATGGTCTGCCCAGACTGAAGGTGACTTTCCCTAGGGATGGATGAGGGTGTGACTCTGCTGCTGAGCATAAGCCAAAGCCAAACTGCTGTGAGCCATGTTGGCTGCTGGGCAGTTCCAGGGTGTCCTGGTGGAGAAGGAAGGGGAGAAAGGGAAGGCAGAGGAGGCAGCTCCCTGGGCCATCACTCAGCTCTCCCTCACTGCCTTCCCGCCACCAACAAGGGAGACACCACAAATAAGACTCCGTGGCATTAAGGCCCTGCCATTCAGGCAGGGCAGGTTCTTCAACAGGAAAAAGTAACTTTCCCGCTTTCCTGCCTTCAGCTGGCGTGGGCCCACTCAGATGTGTCAGGTGCATCAGCAACTCATTGCAACCAGCCCTACAACCTCACTGTGATCGCTGGATCTGGAACAGCCCCACGAGCTCACCAGCATTTTTCCAAAGAATGCCTTGTGTTGACAGTGCTAACCAGTCTGCACAGCAGGAGGGGGGAAAAGCAGCTGGTAACTAATGCAGGGCAATGGGGATTCATGGATGTGTGTATGGTTCTGGTTTTCTCTATATTGTCCTATAACCCATATGCATCACTGTGGGTTATGTTAGTGGAATTTTGCTGCTCAGCAGCTGTCCGGGCAATGCGAAGCCAGGCCCACTCATCCTTTTAAGCATCAAAGGTACAATTCAATCCATTTATGGCTGCCTCGGGGCACTGCTCCACACATCTTTCACAGCAGCTGTGCCAGCTTGATTCATTCCCACCAACTTGACTCAGAAGCCATGCTGTAATCTGTATCTGCTGATTGATCGGGGGTTAAAAATAAGTTGGATGACTTGACTGGTTCCTTGTTTCAGTTTCCCTGTTCAGTTATGCTTGTTTCAATCCCCCCCCATGTCTTTAGTTGAGTGTTCCAATATGTCTTTTCTGTGGTAACGTAAGAAATATAACAACAGCTTCTCCTGACCACCGCCCTGTGCCTGGGAATGTGAGGCACAAACCCTTCCTTGGGCCTTGTTCTAATATGAAGAGTTCTATACTTAAAAGACGGAGCTGAATTTGGCCATGGTAACCTCCATCACCTTGCTAAAGTCTACTACACAAAGGCATTTAATGTACAGTTTTGGTCACTGGAAAGGAGATAAAGAGAAAATAAAATAAAATAAAATAATAAGCAGTCCAGCTCCGAACGGATCATAATTTATTATGAAGTAGGACAGACTTTGTTTTTAATAAAGACTGTTACTTGGGAGAAGAGACTATCTCAATCTGCACTCCAGGACTCATCCTAAGAAACACCTGGTAGGTGCTATCAGAAGTTATTTAGCTCCCTCAGAGTTTCCAGCCTTGGCAAATTACGAGTGGTAGGACTTGAAACTTTGTGCGTCATTTCATTTATTAGAATAATTTTTCCTCTTCCCTGACACTTTATGTGCCATGTTCTGTATTAATAGTGTAGTAGCATTTCTCAATAGCACCATAATTTACTAATCCACAAAGGGCAGGGATGTGTTTTACATTTCAAGAATTGTGACCAATTCTCTCATCTCTCTCCCAGAGAAACCTGAGAATGTTGTTTCCCCCTCCACATTGTTAAGAAAGAAGCAGAGCTTTCTCCCTGAAAATACCTGTCTTCCCTGTGAAGGGATCCTGGAACTCCTCGTGCCTTTCATCCATCTGCTGTCAATTTAACTGGCTCCACGAGCTAGTGGCGCCTTCGTATGACCTTGCAAGTATTTACAAAATCTGGTTTCTATAAAAAATAAGGGGTGATCCCTATGTTTACCCTCTTTCTCAACTAACCATGTTTTGTTACTACCAGCTTGTGCTAGAACATATCCACCAACTCAAGCCTGGCTCTGGGATGCTCCGATGCCTTGGCCAAGTTTTCCAGCTGCCGAGGTTACCTCAGCCGAGCCGTCGCTGGCGCAGATGTGCGCTGGCTTTGCCCGGAGCGCTGTGTTTTTTGGAGACCTGGAGCACAGTGCTGGGGCTCTGCAGCCCAGCAGATCTGGCAGAGCCTCCACCACGGGTCAGACTGGGTGTGCACAGCCCAGAGTGCCTTTGAGCCCCTGGTTTGCACCACCTGGGCAGGCCAACACAGAGCCGGGGTTGTTGTGCTGTGTTAATGGCACCACGCACATGTCCGTCCGTGAACCCACGATCAACCTGACCCCAGAGGCCAACAGAGACATGGAAAAGATTTACAAGAAGCCATAGAAGGGTTTGGGTTGGAAGGGACCATAAATATCATCTATGTGTGTCTATATGTATATAGCAGAGGGAATTGCCTTTTGTGTCCATCTTGAATCTTTGAGCTCAGGCTGACTGCAATGCCAGTCAGCTTTAACTCTGTGTGAGGTTTCATATATGTGTGTCAGACCACATAACCCCAAAACAGGCATTTCTCTAGTGACATTTAGTTTTCCAAATGAACACACTGACTTGCAGCAAGGCAGTCTTTCACAGGATGGAACTGTAAGTATTTATTTACCCAGGGTGTAACTTTAATCTTTCATCAGAATGCAGATATGAGCTGTTTTATAACAGTTTGTAAACTTGAACTTTATAAAAATTTGGAAATAAAACCTTTGCCTAACAACAGTTGTGTTCTTGGAAATCAAGTTCCATCTACAGAAACCGTTTATGTTATACATCCCACATGTGAGTCATTGTTACAATTCAATAAATACTTTACAAAAATAATGCTAGCTTTTTTAAAAAAATTAAGACACTTTAAGACACCAGTAGTTCCTCCCAGAAAGCTTCCCTTAAAGAATAGCTTCTGCTGTAGGACACTGCATTCAGCATGAGAAAAATGGGGGAAAAGGGCTGGTTGCATCTTTCATCCCAGGGAACTTGTGGATTCCAGTTTTACTGTTCTCTAAAATAATAAACTTCCTTTTATTAAAAGAAAGAAACAAGCAGATCCAAACATTCTTCATATTAAAATCTGGGAAGGAACTGTGATCTTTTTGGTCCTTTGACATGGATTCCTTCTCTGCCCTCACTCCTCCAAAGACTTACAGCATGTTCAGTTCACAGGTTCACAGCTGCTCTGGAGATGTAAGCCCCAACAGCTGCAGCTCTGTATCAGAGATGTCTCCAGGAGGGGGCTCTTTGTAACTCTTGCAGAACCACTGCACCTGGACATTTTCTGGCCTGTAGGAAAACCACAGCTACATCTTCCTGCAAGCCTACCCCAGGTGGACTGCAAATACCTGAGCTAGAAGGTGCAGGAAGAATTCCAAGAGAAAAATTGGTAGGGATTTTCTGTATTCACTTTTGACTATTACCCTTCCAAAAAAAAATTCTTCCCTCCTTAGATATGACTGGTCATGAAACCAATTATAGAGAAAACTGATGCTGTAGGTGCATTAATCTTGTAAACCATTCCCATATGGAAGAGTACATTCTTCAATCCTATTGTTTATAACAACTTTTAAGTATGTGCCTCCTCAGCTGGGGCCTTGGGGCCTGATGGTGATGGCAGCTACCCCCCACCCCCTTCATTAGGTTACAGATGGGAAATAAAATGAAACGCACATTATTACATGAACATTATTGCAGTATAAAATCCTATCAGGACAAGACTTATGTATGTCTGTATGCAAAAATAGGTGTGTGTGAGACAGAGAGATATGTGTTTATAAATTACACACACTGTGAAAAATACTTACGTATTATATTACAATTATATACATTCATTAGAAAGGAACTGACCAACCCCTGTCGAGGAGCCAATGCAGCAGCCATCATCAGTTCTTTGGCATCCAGGAAACGAATGCTATTTTGCATCTGAAGAAAAGGAAAATCTTCTCAGTATTCCCTTGCTTCTTGAAACTGCTTGTAGTAGTCTTCGTCTGACGGGTTTTCTGTACACTTCTGCCCATTGTTGGGAGGCCGGGCTTCATTGTAGCGGCTCCAGTCCCCTTTGCATATGATCCAAGGCAGAATGTCCACTTTGTAGTGGAGTTCCGCTGAGAATTCGATGCTGATCAGGTTGGGTGTTCCTGCCCCTTTGCCCCTGGTGATCAGCTGCATGTTGTCGTCATAGCAGCAGTGCTGCGCTGCAAGCGTTGTGCTCTCCAAGGACAGCATGGAGCGGATGCAGTACCGCGCTGTGGGCTTGTAGATCTCCAGTTTTTCCTTTGGACCACTCGCATCCTTCCAGCGGAAGTTCTTCCTCTTGAGCCGGTCAAAGATTTCGGCAGTGCTGTAGGCAACTTCTCTGGGGTAGGAGCAAGGGCAGCTGGGAAGATCATTGACCACTTTGTGCATGTACTTCTTCAGGAACTCGCTCTTGCAGCTCATCCATCTCTCACAGCTATCAGTATCTGTGTCAGGGCAGGAAATGGAAACTTAAGATACATCAAGCAGCATCCCAGTTAGTGTGATCAGTGATAGCAACTGAGCAAAGTGAAGCTGTTCAGCACCAGTGCTCTGCTGTAGAAAGGAAGGGCAGTCACAGTTTGCTGCCCTGCCCAGAGTGTATTACTGTGCTGTCTTGTCAGATAAAATCACCTGTGACTGACTTCAGTGCCTCAGGCAGTGCTAATCTGAGTTACAGTGCAGAGCCAGGCCAGCAGGAATCTGTGACACTTTTTCTACCCAGATAATTCTAATTAGGCTGTTGATATCCCCATGTGGCACAAGAGACACTACCACGGGTTGGTAAGCATCAGAAAAAGGGAAATCACAGTGATTTGGTGCCAGTCTCCAGTTAGAACCTTTAGTCAGAACACACTCAACAGGAAAAATGGCAGTCAGATGATGAAGGACTAAGTTTGAGATGATGCTAGAGATTCCAAGACAGCAAACAAGGCTTGTATGACTCTTTCTGAAGTACATTTTAGACCCTAATTCAGTCTTTAAAAAAAACCCAACTTTTTTCTATTTGATATTCGCTTTTCAAGCATCAATATCTCAGACATGGAGACTGACATCTTATCTGGCAAATGCAGCCAAAAGTGATTCAGCTTCTAAAAGGGCATATGTGACATAAGATCAGAGTGGCTGTACATCAGCAGGAGTTTATGGTGCCAGAGGCATGACATATAGCTGGGATTAAAGAGATTTGTAGACCAGTAGCATATTTAATACCAGCACTTCATTATTTTGCAAGGCTCTTGGCAGAATCTCCTACCTAAAACATTATTTAAGGTGTCTGTATCATCCTATGGGCTGTCCAAAACTGCCTGCATATCTTGCTCCACACTTACTTTAAGAGGACTTTGCAGGAGAGTAACTAACTGGAGCCTAAAACTCTTACAGCACACATTCCTGCAAAATATTTACTTAGTGATCTGTGTCCTGTTTTTCTGTCTCCTTAAAGAGTCTCATCCTATCTGTCATTAACTATTGTGCTCTGCCACCATAGTAGGGAGGTGCTGGGTTACACTATTTATTCAATTAATCCAGCATCCAGTGTCTCTGAGTGGCCACACTATGGTTTCATTGAAGGGACAAAATCAGAACATTGCAGATGTTGGACTGAGTTTTAGATAGTTCAGAATCAAGCCATGCCCTATAAAATTGCTTTGGCTACTCCCACTGCAGCACGCAGAGCTATAAAAGCAATCCATGCTCATAAAAGTCATTGTCTTTTTGTCTTTTTTTTTTTCTGATGTGACAGTTGTATTCTTTTATATTAAATGAAAATGCTTTTATAGGGTCTTCCATTCGAGGCTATTTAATCAAAATAATAAAGAGTGCTTGATTTTTCCCCCCCTCCATTACTGTGGAGTCTTACAGCTCTTTTCTGAATTAGGACAACAAATAACCCTTTTATGATGAAACAAACATAAGACTGAAGGGGAGAAAGATTCTACAACCAAAGCAAATTTTCAGATCACAAACATGAGCAAGACAATAAATGGCTGTTACTATTGACATTTTTAATGCTAAACTCAGTATCTTGATCCCACAGGACTGAGAAAATCCTAAGGAAGTCTCTTATCTGTTACTGAAGGATTGACTAGGCTGCTTACCAACTTCAAACAGTTTGGTGGCATTGAAGTCTTCACTCCCTGCAAGTAAACTCACTTCTGTGGCAGCTGTCCGGAAGGTATCTTCGATCCCTAAGACAAACACGTGTTAGTGCTGCCGGTGTTTTCCCATTAAAACACAATGGAACCAGCTGCCTCCTTGCCACCCCTTCTTCCCCAGGCTCTGCAAGGTGCTTTGTTTTGGCAGGGAACCATTCTGAAGTTGCTGCTGGGCTGTTCCTTTGGAACCATAATGACCAAGGAATCTGTGCTGTTAGTAAAGCAAAACAGAGTGACAGGACTGAAGACAGGTGAGGAAGCTCATCTCTGTATGTGGGCAACCATTTCTCAAGGAAGAATGATGCTGTTACAAGAAGACTGATGCTTTTTGTTCTCTCCCAGTGCCAGGGAGTTAAAAGGTGTGAGTAGGCAAGAGATAACCAACCTCTCCAAGCAATTCCATCCCCACCACTTACAGCTGTCAAATAAAATATCAGGATCTCAACATATCAAGATTTACCAGCAGCCTCCAGTTAATTGTTTGGTACCAATTGAGAGACACAGAGATTGCCAGAAAAATTATCTTGCCAAAGTAAACATCCTTCTGTTGCTGCTTTAGTTCAGCCTATCGATGTGCCTAGCATTTCTGTGCCATGTAGGCTTAACACAAGTAGGTTTTAGTTTTATTTTTCCTTTCCTCTCCATTGAATTAAAGACCTCTAAAGAGAACTGAAAGATCTTTAATATGTGATAACTATATGGTTAATAATAAAGTCTATTCACCGTCCATCTTCTTGCCAATGAAATTTCTCCAGATCTCCTGAACTGGGGCATAATAGTGGCTTGCAAATCTTCAAAACAGCCTCAGGCAAATTTTCAATACAATTATCATAAAATTTTGCCTTAACTCCAGCACTAGATGTAGAATAATAGATACCCAAGAACCCATTACAAGGCAGTAATTCACTGCTGGAATTATAAACAGCAGAAGCTGAGCTTTGACTTGTAATTTTGAAAATGTCAGCACAGCATCAAAGAGTGAATATATTTTGCTTGCTGATCGTTGGAGGTCTGTTATATGACATAATATATTCTTTCAAGTTTGCCACTTTTTGGTGCTAGCTGGTAATAAATACTAGAGAATATAACTGGGGGTTACTTGCTTTCTTCTGGAATTAACTCCTTATTATTGAGGTTTTAAGATGCATGAGAGCATGCAGAAACATTTTTCCCTGAACTGCCTCACAGTTGTTACTTTGCAATGGAGACATGGATCTATCTGCAAGTCAGAAACTTCTCTCCAACTCTCTCACCAAGTCTTCTAAGTCTCCTCTCCAGCACTGCTGACATTTCACTTCCCATTAAAAAAAGTCTGACCTCCAGTTTAAGAATTTCTGCCTTTCTGAGTCATTAAGTAAACTGAGAGTAATGCATACCACCATGACTTGTGTTTTCACTTCTCTCTGATCTTGGGAAGTAATGGACTTGCACCTATCCCCTGCATTGTGGCACCTACTGCATGACAAATTGGTCTAAATTTAAACACAAAGCAACATTTAAAAAACAGTGTTCCATAGCAGCTTCAGATTTTCATGATGTAGGCTTGAGTGCTCAGCTCTGATTTTGCCTAAGTGAAGATAGTGTGTGATGGTAAAGACACTCCAAAATGTCAAATCCTGAGAATGGGTAGGAGCTAAGGCGAGGCTCCTTGGCTATATTTTCTGAATATATTTAAGCCAAAACTACTGGTTGCCTTCATCTCTGTTCACAATGCAAGCAATGCCATCCATTTCACAGCAAAACAGGAGCTCGCTGAAGTAACAGCACAGCTGGTTTGAAGTTCTAAAACAGCTCCAAATTTTTTTCAGGGGAGTAGATTACACCCTTTATAATACAAAACTCCCATGCACAAATATTGTATTTGCAGGGTTCCCAGACGAAGGAAGGAATGATGATTGTTCTTAGAAGGCTAATTTATTATTTTATGGTACTATATTATATTAAAGAATACTAAACTAAAGAATACTAAAGAATACAGAAAGGGTACAGACGGAAGGCTAAAAAGATACTAATGAAAACTCTTTCCAGAGCCTCGACACAGCTTGACCCTGATTGGTCATTAAGTCAAAACAATTCACATTAAACTAATGAAACAACCACCTGTTGGTAAACAATCTCCAACCACATTCCAAAGCAGCAAAACACAGGAGAAGCAAATGAGATAATATTGTTTTCCTTTTTCTCTGAGGCTTCTCAGCTTCCCAGGAGAAGAATCCCAGCAAAGGGATTTTTCCAGAAAATATGACTGCCACACACAAAAATGATGGCCATGACCTAGAGAAAGCCTGTACCTGTCTTTTAAGTTCCAGGGGATGGTGTCTTTTAAGTCCCAGGGACTACATCTAGCAGTGTATCATTATTATGAATAAAGGGCGTTGAAAATCTTCTCTTCCCACAGGAACCCTTACCTTGCCACGGAGCACACGGGCCCCAGGCTTTGTGTGCAGGATGGCTCTCTCCACCCCTGCCCACCTGTTCCCGCTCCCCCTGGCAGCAGTTCCCACCAACATTCCCACCTGGGCAGTTGGGCCGGTCGCAGGTCCGGGACTCGGTGGCGGTGCAGGCGTACCCGCAGGACCTGGTGCGCTTCTGGCTGCCGCTGCCGCAGGTGACGCTGCAGGGGGACCAGGGGCTCCAGTCGCCCTCGCCATCGATGTAATCTGTGGGAGGACAAATGCGAGGGAGGAAATGAGGAAACAAAACTCCTACTACCCAAAACTACTGTGTAGTGTTTTTTATTAAGAAGGCAAAACACGAATGGAATCCAGATGTCCCTACCTGAAGCTTGGGCAGAATGCCAGGCGCAAGCCTGCTGTTTGAATGGTTTTCACACTTGGTGCTCCTCAGGGAAATGCACGCAAGATTATTTGAAAAAATATTTCCTTTCTCTTTTGACCTTTTGGCTGCTGAGGATCCTCAGCTGCAAAGCTCGGTCATGAACTAAAAGTACACATCTATTCACATCATTTGCCTGCGTATAGGAATGTGTTTGTAGACCACAGACTAATCAGGCAAAGGATAAATTGAATTTTCTTTTTCATCATTTCAAAACACACAACAGTACTCAATTTTTGGGCAAGATGCATGTTGTTGGGTCACGAGTGAAAATCACAATTTTATTTTTCAATCCCTTGAATGGGGAACAGATATTTCAGGAATACTGCTACGAGAACAGGGAACTGCATGCTTTTCTTGCACCAAGAACAACACGCAATATTTAGTGTTTCATGTGAATTATTAAATAACATCAAATCTGACTGTTTACTAGAAGGAAACTTATGAAAAAGAAATATGATTTTGTTTTCTTCTGGCAGATAACCAAAGTCACTGGACACCAGGTCTGCCCAACAAAAGCTGATGATGCTGTGAGTACCTGAACCCTTCAGAAACAGCCTCCTTTGTGTGCTACATAAACTGTTGCACATCACACCACGTGAAGGCCACCAAACAAAGCCCATCAACCTGTCCCAGCTTTCTTGCCTCCCCACTGGCCTCCCTAGCTGAGGGAACATTTGGCTGAATGGTTTTCCCTGCAGCCTACAGGGGGTATTTTACGGTGATCATAACTTGCAGCTGTAGCTCCTTTGGGTTACACCACCGCTGACAGCAAAGCAAAATCTGGTTTAGTGGCTCTGAGGCAGCCCTGCTCTATAGATACAGGTAAGAGTACCTAAGCTACAGCAAGACCCAGGGAGGATCCCTGCCTTCCCTGGCCTCTGTGCTACACGCTTTCCCCCAGGGCCATGCTGTCTGTGGGCTTCCTGAGCTGGTTAGCAGAACACGTAACTTGATTTGTTCCATATGTAACGACTGACAACAGCTCTGTGGGGTGCTATTAAACATTTATTGCCAGGAGTATGGGGAGGTTATATATCTCACTCAGAGCAAGCTGCCTAGATGTGAGTTCCTCATGGCAAGGACCTTATCTGCTTCTCCTCCTTTTCTGACAGGGCTGATGATGGGGAAGCCAGCACACTGGAATCCGGTGTCCGCAGTGGGATGTGGGTGTGAACAAGGCTAATGTCGGCGTGCAACACCCGTGGCTCTGGGATTTGCCAGCAGGCAGGCACCACAACCGTCCAAAAAAGGCATCAGATGTCTCAGGAAAATATGATCTGCCCACTATGCCCGGACCTGCTCTTCTTCCCAGCTCTTCTCCAATTCTTTTATCTCCATGTGGTTGGCGAGGAGGAGGGCAGGTGAGAAGGCAGGATGCCTGCCAAACAGCCAGGAGGCCCAGGAAGGGCAGGGAGAGCCCTTGGCAGGGGCAGGAGGGGAGAGAGACACACAGGAAAGGTGTGAACATGTCAGTGGGTGGAACACCTACACCCCTCACGGGCAGGATCTGCTACTGCATCCTCCTGGACAAGGCCAGCATTTTAGGTTAGACAAAAGGCCAGGAGCTGTTTCCAGTTAGCTGGATGCTCTGGTGTGCAGCAGGGAGCTCTAGGATAATTTTTGGACCTACCTACCTAGTATTTACAGTGCACTATGAATATATTGCACACTATTGAATATACCATGTTAGATTTTCAGCTGCAGTTCAACCTGTTCTTCCTATTTTCATATTTGTAATTCTTACTATGATTTTTCTATCACAATTTTCTGTGAAAGCAATTTTATTTAACTTATATGAGTAAGTACCTAAGATATGAAATCTTGGCAATAAATCCTGCCCACAAATAAATATAGGTGCAAAAAGAAGGGATAGATTTAGTCTTCTGGCCTCAAAATTTAATACATAAGTATGTGTTTAAACACACTATTCCATAAAAATTCTCTCTTGATTTTTAAGATTCTAGTACTTCAAGTCAGTCAAACCATGGAAGAACAAGTTTGTTTTACCCAGGCTCTATGCAGCATCTGAGGAATAAAAACAGAAATGCCAGGGTAAAACTACCATGGCTTTGACACCTTGTTCTGACTAAAAGCAGTCTGTATTTACACACAACTTAAATTCAGGGGGCTCTTCCTGTGAGCACAGTTTAGCTCACCTCCCTTGGGTCATTCCCATGTGGATAGTCACAGCCTGTCAGGGCAGTGAATAGCTGTAGCTCTTCTCTGTTTCTAGTTTCTGCAACTATTTCATACAACAAGCTGAAAACAATTGTTTTCCCCATGACACATCTGGAAGAATATTACACACACAAATACACAATGTTCCTGCTGCACATGCCACTCCCCACACATGCACCAACATAACTCATCTTATTTGTGTATCCACCAAATACTACCACATTTCAGATCTTGCTTATTTATCCAATAGTTATATTCTGGTTCCCAAACCACCACACGATTCTAAATCTGTACTTACCCTTGCTCTAAAAATAAATGCGAAACCTTGTTTCCTCTACTTTTTAAAAAAAGCACACGTTGGACTAAAAAAGGCCCTCTTCTGGGATAACTGGTATGATTTTCAAGATTATAGACTTACTAGTGGAATGCAGCTACCACAGTACGGCTTGTGCATTTGCACAGATTTGTATTTGAAAGCTGATGAACAAAAGCCACATGTTGAAAAACTCTGTTTTGCTTGGCCTGCTCTCAGCCATGCCTCACCATTCTCGTTTCCCTCGCGCTTGTTTTTCACAACCCCAAGATGCCCACAGGAGGCCTGGAACACAAACCTACCGTACTCCGGCTGCTCCTTGGACTCGAATGCCCGGTGACTGGGTGCATGGCTCTCCCACCCACCGAGAGGGTTTAGGAAGTTGCTGTCCTCAGTTGTGCTGTCATACTTGTAGTCCTGGTCACCGCTGCTCATGCGAGTCAGCGTGGAGGACCTCTGCCACCAGTTCCTCCAGTCGGGAGATGGGGCTGGCCAGCTGGGCTTGCTGCTCTCCTTCTGCAGGTCCTTGTCTGCCTCTGTGTCAGGGCTATCCACCACTTCAATGGTAACCTGTGGGATTCAAACAGACCAGCCTGACTGTCAGTGCCTCCTCCTTGTCAGGGGGAAACTTTCTGAAACAAAGACAAGGTGCTGCCTGGCAAAGGGGCTACACAGTGCCATGGGTTTGGCATGTTGTAGACCACATGTGGATTGCTGAGCCCAAAGACATGCAGAGGCTGAGTGATTCCTTCTGCTACCTCTGCTGAATCAAGCCTCGGAACCAAGGCTAGGAAAAATCCTGCACAAAATGATAACCCACACTGTGCCTAAAACCCTCGCAGCAGAATTTTCTGCCTTATGGGGAAAATGTGTTTAGAGGCTAACATATATGACCAGGAAAAAGAAAACCAAACCTGTGCTCTATGCTGAGGCTGAATTTGAGGCGAGCATGAAGCACACCAGTGTGCAGAGCCTGTTCCAAGGACTTGGCCTGACTCAAAATAAGCAAGGCCATGTGTGTGAAGGTCAAGATGCAGAGCCCAGGTATTGCTGGGTTTGCATCTGTCTTGCCCCTCTGGCAGCAGCCCAGCTGTTACTGCTGCATGAAACCACACTTTGTGGCAGTGATGGGAGCCAGCAGCTCCTCTGACCATTGCTGAGTAAGCCACTTGCTGCAAAGTCCTTTAAAGTAGGTCCTTTTGCCGTGCTGGAAGAGTATAATAACCTGTTATGGTCAACCTGTTTATGGTTTCTAATGGAAGCCCAGAACCAAAATTCAGAGTTTGCTGCCCAATTCCTTCACAGACATCACAAATGTCAATATCATTCTGCATAGGAGCAACCTTTGATTATTGCTTTCTGTGCTGAACAATGTGTAATTGTAAAACTCTTGGATAAATATTGTGTGTGCATATAGGTGGCTATTTAGGTAGAAGCAGAGACTAGCCATCAGAAATCTTGGCTCTGTGAGTCATGCAAGCATTGCCTGGCCACAGATAGATCATAAAATGCTCTGATGTTTCAGGCTAATATGGTTCAGTGATTACACTGGACTGGCTTAAAAACCAGAAGTGACTGTCAGATATATCTATAATGTTTAATAGGTACAGAGGCGTTCTCAGCCTTTCAAGATGGTACACAATGAAAATCAGCTTGTATAAAACAGAAATAATGTACTGTTATGTTAAAAGTAATTTACACAGCTCTGTGGATGTGCATTGTACATAAAAGATTAGTTTTATACAATTGTTATTACTAAAATCACAAGACACACACAAGAAAAAGAAAGAAAAGGTCACAGCTCCCTGTGATCCGCAGACTGGGACACAGGAAGCAAAGCAGAACTGTTGTATCTTCAGAGCTGCAAACACAAACCATGCCCACACATCCTTTCTTTGGAGACAGGGGATTTTGAACCTATTTCATGCTTTGCATTTTACCATAGACCAGGCCATTGAAATGAAAAAACTTGCAGGCTACTATGAAGCTCCACTGGGAAAAGAGCAAGAGCAAGGGAAAGTGCAGCTGTCAGCCTAATAGCCTCTTTACACAAAGAGTATTTCACTCCCAGCCTAAATATGGAATTGGAACCATTACTTCATTAAACCTCAGTTTCTACAGACCAAGAATTAAAATGGATTTCATAAGCATGAAAACATCAGAGTCAGTTCAGGGATTCAAAATTGTTACCTCTATCCAAGCAAAACAGAGTTTTCACAATAAGTGAAAGGAAATCGCCTTACCGAGCAGCAAACACTGCCAGTGGTGGGGCTTTAGTACTCCCCACCTGGAAATCAGTACACTTCTAGTACTTTAGCAGCAAGTATTTTTAGGACCACACTAACTCTCTGAGCAATTACTCAGCAAAATGGAAAAAAACAAACCCTCTGATTAAAAAAAAATTATAATTGCTCTATATGCTTTGATAATCTGTAGCTGTATGAAAGTCAATCAGCATGAACTGGCATTATTTCAGCCAAGGACAATTTGAAGAAGAGCTTGAAGAACTTGATTTTAAATAATGATTGATGATGCCAAGTCAGCTTAAGGAAAAGAGGGTTTGCAGGGACAGAGAAACATCTGCAGAGCTTGGTGCTGCACTGGTGAGGAAAGCAGGCGGAACACACACGCTTCCAGTGCCATCAGACCCCACCAGACCTTCAGCAGTGCTGCCACTAACTTACTTCCAAGACTGGAATATCTGTGCAATCAGCCACTTCAGTCTGTTTTTACCTCTGAGGAAGCTTATTAGAAAGGCCTCTAAGATGAGTTTTCCATCACACAGCCAATTTAAAAACCAAAAACAGCAGAAGCAAAATCCAGTGTGGTAGTCTGACACAAACCTATGTTCCCCTCTCCACTGCTTCAAGCTTTGATTACCAAGCTGTTTATTGTGGAATAAAAATCATACAGTGAAATAAATTCTGTAAAGGATCCTGGGATCTTCTGAGCTGCTACTCTTGGAAATTAGAAGCCAGCTTCAATCAACTCTGGTGTTTTCAGGGACTTGGCTTAATGGACCTTCCAGAGGCAGGGAGGAAATCAATGCATAATCTTAGCAATCCCTCCTCCACTCTATGACCCAGAAGTTAGGGAAGAATTGTGAGAAGAGACTGCTGTTTCAGGTGAGTAATTTCTCCTTTATCCCAGTCTAAAATTTGAAAAATGAGCTTTCACTGAGTTGTTCCCAGTACTCACAGGTAGACGTACAGTGTTAGCCCATGACAGCACTTACACACATGCTTGTACACATACATGGCACTGAAATATGCAACTTGTGTGATCAGTTTCTATACTGGGGGCTGTTTATAAAATGGAATAAAGAAATCAGGAATTAGAGAATAAAGATCAAGAACTAGAGTAATGCAAACCAGGCGTTTAGAGAAGCTCTGGAAAAGCTTTCATAATGTGTAAGTATTCCAACAAAAACATGTTATCTTAAAAATTAAAAAAGAGATCTGGTTTAGCAGTTCTATCTTGGAGCCCATTTTAGAGGCTGATTTCTTCTTCCAGTGATTATCAAAACTGTAAAGATTTTTCTCAAACTTCCCAAAATGTCTGTGGTAACACAGTTCTTGTATAAATCCACAATCATCCCCAGAAGTATTCAAACCTAAAATAAAGCCATTTCTTTTATGGTTGTATGAGCTAGGAATAAGGACATTCATCTGAAAACTGTTAAAAACAATTGGCGTAGGCACATTAAAACAACAGATTTGCAGTCAATTTCTAATGAAACAAGTGTATCATGCACAGATGTCTCCAGACACCAACATCCAATTTTCTCCTAGCCAAAAATATACAGAAGATAAATATTATCCCAGCATGCTAGAGTGCACAAAAAGTTCTGTGTTCTTTGTCCTGTTTACTGAGACAATGTTTCTGAATTCACTTTACTGGTGTAAACATTGCCCTAAGTGACTAGAAGATTGTGTTTCAGGAAGAACTATGTTTGCAATGTTGTGCAAGCAGCAGATCCCACAACATTTCTATCCTGTTTTTTTCATGCAATCGATGCAAATTTTCAATACAGAACTTGCCATTCTGGGTAAGACAGACATGTGCAAGTCAGCAATGAAGTAAGTATAATAGGAGAACAGAAACAAGTTCAGTACGAGATTGAAATGGTAATCTGGCTTTATATCACATAATTTTAATTAAAGTGCTATCAGCAGTGACAGTAATTTACTTCTGGTTGTGTCACGTCGCTTAGAACAATTTTCTGGACTTGAAAAGTGAAGGTCCCTCAAGCTTTGTTGGGAGAAAAGAAGACAATGTGACTTGAGGCCTGAAATTTCTATAATTTATATTTGTTCCTTTGAAGCTGCCGGTGAATCCCACACCAATGCACTGAAACCAGCAGCTTCAAAGGACAAATACAAATGACAGCTAAAAAGTACGTCTAATAAAATGTGTGAAAAGTGACATTATGATGCAGGTGGAGGTGAAGGAAATGGCCATGGGTGAACCTGGAGGAGTTGAGGCCTGCAGTTCTTTTTTCAAAGCAGATCACACAGCCTTGTTTCTCTGTACTTGAGTATGTTCCTAGAGTGGGTGGTTTTGTGTAGATGTGTTTCTAAGAGAAGGTAGTAACCCAGCAGGTATCAAAGAGAGAAAAGAGGTAACAAGTAGATAACACAGCAGCACTGGAGTGGTGTGACTGGTGAATATGGCCACAGGCCTCGTGGCAAATGAAAAAGACCAAGCAAGCATTAACTTCTTCTGCTTTAGAACCACTTCTGTCAATTAACATGGTTATCAACATGGTTTTAAACCTGTTTCTGTGCAGTTTTCACCCAGAACACACCACCTCATCAAAATGTTTAACACATCCATTACAACTGGAGCTCACCCAGCTGGGCTTTAACTCTATTGTCATGAAGCTTGACCAAGACCTAAGTTCAGTGAGGAACACTAATATCAACAAAATGCCCTTATTGCCCAAAAAGAGGTTGTGAACTCCCCATCCCTGCAGGTGTGACAAGGCTGGATAGGGCTCTGAACAACCTGATCTAGTGGAAAGGCGTCTTAACTAGATGATCTTGAAGGTCCTTCCCACCCAAACCACTCCATGGTTCTATGAGTTTTCCCTTTTCTGCTCATTTTTCATGGTGTCAAGCACTGCCAGGGAAGCAGCAAAGCAGTGCCACAACAGAGCAGCACACTCCCTGACCCTGTTTCAGTACACAAACCTGGGAAACCACTAATAAAAAGAAAAGGTGAGGAACAAGAGCAAGAGTTCAACGGCAGGCTCCAAACAGAGGGTTGGCTGCAGATGTAGAAGGCTGTTTGGAAAGACTAGAAAAACCCATCAGAAATGGAAAACAGGCAGGTTCCTGTACACCTCCCATGTGACTTCATTCTGCTGCTCAGGGGAAAGAGCAATTCTGATTTTGAATGATAACCCTGACCAGTTACAGGGTCTGAATAGGCATCCCTTGGCTGCTCTGTCAAACAAGTGCAAACCTAGACAGCAGGGATTTTCCACTTGTGAGAGGAACTAAAAAAACCATGTAAAGAGTTTTTGTAATCACCTTCTCATCTAGAAGTCTTCCAGGCATTGACAGAACCATTAAAATGGCAAAAAAGAAAACAAAATACCCCAAGCCAAGCAGCCAGTGTGTGCTCAGCAGCAGTGACTGTGGTTACTCTCAACAACCAGTGTGGAAGCACAGCTGAAGCATAAAATGCCACTTTAAGTGATGGGAGATTTTATGAGGCTAGAACACCACAGGAAGGCCAGTAAGGGTTATCCTGGTCATGTAGGCAAAGAGTCATATTCATTTGGATTACTGCAGCTCTGACTGCTGCTTCTGAGGGTTTTCTAGAGACAGTCTGCTGTAGTTACATTATCATCTAATAAATATGGGATAATCTGAATTCCTCTGATGGTGTTCTGATACTCACTTTTAGTTAATCACTAAAAGAGCACATACCAGGGCATGACACAGCAAGCACCATCTCACAGGAACCACAGAAGAAATGGCTCTAAAGAGAACTCACTGGAGTATTTTTTCCACTTGCTTTTTTGGAAGAATTTTATGCCTCTTTCTTAGATTTTTAATTCCCAGGTATAATTTCCATTTTAAAATGTTAATTTTGCTTTATGCAGTAGAAGGAAAAAAGAGGTTTTGAGCCTTTGAGAAGAAAATATGGCCATTGTGCTATCTTAAAACAGAGGCTGTTTTCTCCTATCCAGCCTCTCAGTCCTAGGAGGACTCTTTAAATCAACACTCCCAGAACTGTAACTTACAGATCTGGGAGCCATTGTGCAAAAAGAAAAATACGCATCAATTCTGTTTTCACCTGCCAAACAGCTGATGAGAAATTTGCAAGTCAACAAGTGTCTCTATTTCTCTTCAGGTCAGTATAGTACTGTTTAACAAGCAAGCATTCACTATAATCCTATTTTTTTGTAAAAGAGTAGGCCAACTTTTACAACCTTTAGGCAAAAAAAAATAAACTTTCTCTGACTCTGTAAGGAATTAATGGGAATTTTATGTCCATAAGTCTTGACCAGCTGTAAGACTGTCAAACAAGAACTTAAAGAAGCTTTGTATAATCACTATTTACCCACCTAAATAAGCAGAGTAAATTCAGAGTAAATAAAATGCACAACATAGGGAGCCTCTTTCTGAAAGGGCTCATCTTTGTGCACAAGATCTCTCAGATCAATGTTTCCCCTTTCCAGTTTACAGGACCAGTTTTCCCAGTTCTCATAGTCCAGCAAGACTGCTGACATAGTTGCTGACATATTTCCAAGATCAGGTGGTGGAAAAAGAGGCCATAGCAGCAGCAGTTACTATGAAAACAAGCTGGGGAACTGTTTCCATCTCTTTTATCCCTGTGTCTAAACTTTGTAGGCTGTCACCACTCAGGAAAGGTTTTTGTTTCCTCCTGTCCTCCTCTGCAGTTTACATACTGTTCAAATAGTGATGTTGCATGATTTGCCTCATGGCACAACCTGGGGTCCCTACAGCTTCCAATCTTCCCTTCTGCCTTAGGTCACGAGATGTGACCAGGGGGGTGTGTTCTATTGCCGTCTGTTAGAGGTGGAGCAGCTATCTTCTGTTAATTGGGCAGTTTTCTTTATCTCTTCCACAACCAATCCTCCCTCTGGGGAGATATCTCCTGTTAATGGGCCATCGAGTGTCCCTGCATGACTGATACAATTCCATCATCCCATTGGGAGATGCTCCACCCAGAGGGAGGAGCCAAACATTCCTACCAGGATATAACTTAGATTTGGAAGACCACAGACAGCCTTTTCCACTGGTTTACCAGAGGAGCAGCTTTCTTCTCCACTGGATTTCCAGAGGAAGACCAGGCCCATCTGCGCCACCACTGGATCTTCAGAGGAAAACTCCATCCTTCTACAGGATCACTGTTCCAACAGAACCACACCTGGCACTGCAGGAGGGCTGCAGCCACCATGGAATGGGATTGCTGCCACCACCCTGATCCACAGGGTGTCAGATCATATTCTGAAAACCACTCTGTCAGTGTTTTTTTTTGTACTATTGCACTTGTATTTTAATTTTCCTGGTAAAGAACTGTTATTCCTATTCCCATATTTTTGCCTGAGAGCCCCTTAATTTCGAAATTATAACAATTCGGAGGGAGGGAGTTTACATTTTCCATTTCAAGGGAGGCTTCTGCCTTCGTTAGCAGACTCCTGTCTTTTCAAACCAAGATACCTTCCTAAAGCTTTCTGGAATGGTTCTCCTAGCACAAGAGTTGCATCACCACATGTTGAATATGTTTAGTCCCTCAGCCGGTCAAGTATTAGACCTGCTTTTGGCCCCAAATCTGTGAGACTTCTTAATGGTCCAACGCAAGGGAGCGATGCTGTGGCAGCTTCTTCTCACCCAGTCATGGGTAAGAATCATGCACTGCCAAATCTGTGAGACTTCTTAATGGTCCAACGCAAGGGAGCGATGCTGTGGAGGCAGCTTCTTCTCACCCAGTCATAGGTAAGAATCATGCACTCGTTTGGGTTGGAAGGGATCTCATTCCCTCATTCTACTGCCCTGCCATGGTCAGGGACACCTTCCACCAGACCAGGTTGCTCAGTGCCCATCCAGCCTGGGCATTCCAGAGATGGGCATTCCAGAGATGGGGCAGCCACAGCTTCTCTGAGCAACCTGTGCCAGGGCCTCACCACCCTGAGAGTAAATAATTTCTTCCTAAAACTACTTGCTAAAACTACTAAACTTATCCTCTGCCAGTTTAAAGCCATTCTCTCTTGTCCTGTCACCCCATGCCCTTGTAAAAAGTCCCTCTCCAGCCTTCTTGGAGCCCCTTTAGCACTGGAAGGTGCTCTAAGGTCTCTCCTGAGCCTTCTTTTCTCCAGGCTGAACCTCCCCAGCCCTTTCAGCCTGTCTCCAGAGCAGAGGTGCTCCAGCCGTCTTGAGCATGCTGGCCTCTCACCAGCAGATTTATTACATCTTTACATACATACTTCTTAGACATATCAAAAGGATGGTAATTTTGTGGGCTGGGGGACTATAAGAAGCCAGGAATTAATTTAACCAGAAAACCAGATCTATTAGTGCATTGTTTTTATAAGCACATCTTAGGCAGAACAACATTTGAATTTATTGTTTTGGTTAAAAAAGACTGCTTATTAATGCCAATTTTGCTTTAAGGCTCTGAATTAAAAACAAATCACTCATTTTTTCCTCTTTCCGATCCTTGAAGTTTCAAGATGCAAGTGCCTTGTAAGAGGCTGTTCCAAACCCAAGAACTGTTTGAGGAATAACATATAACAAAGTTTTGTGCAGACAACTTTTTTTATACTACAAGCAGCTGCTACAGAAATTAACTCTAAGTCTCACTTCCGTACAGAAGAATGCATTTTGAGCTGAAACTGAAATACTTGTTCTCTGTTAGCCTTTGGGGATGGTTGCATTTTATAATAGCATACAAAATGCAAATCTGTTCACAAACAAATTCTACAACAGTAAATTGAAGGCAGAAATTAAAATACCCATTTATTTTCAATGAATGTAATATGCTCCAAAATGAGAATCACAAAGATGGGTTTAGCATCACAAACAGGTCTACAGTGATCTCCACACATGCAATCAACACTATTCCAGAAGTAATTCAGAAAAAAATTGCAATATGTTCATTAACTTAGAGAGAAAAAGTAAGTATTTGTGTATATATATTTTATATACAATATTATATTGTACTATATACATTCTCTGTTGGTAGAGATGGATTGTTCTGGCTGCACATCATGGAAGCCAGGATGAAAGTCGTCTTGGCTCAGTAAAATAACTCTGTGTAAGTTGTAAAATAGTCAGATGTTAACATAAATTTGTACCTGAATGTTGGGATTCTGCCCATTGATATCTGCTTTTGACAGGTCAGGGAAGTTTGGGAGGTCCAGCAGAAAAGACCTGGGTCCATCTCTTTGCAAGGACGTGTGCCCGCTCTCCTGCCTGAACTGCTCCTTAGGAAATGGCCGGTGGGCAGCCTGGAGATTGGGGTATTCTCGTCGCTCCTCGGGGTTCAGGGTGAAGCTGTCTTCAGGAGAATGGTCCTCTGCAGTCAGTGTGTTCTGGGGAAGAAAAGCAAGGCCCAATAATGACAACTGAGAGCATGCAGTCCTGCCAGTGCCCCCATCCCTCCAGTGGCTGCAGCCTTACAGCACCCAGACCCACGGCTCACTACTGAAACACAGATCTGCAACCAGCTGACACAAGAAAGAACTGATTCAGACTTGGGGACTTAGTTCTTCCAGGCTCCTGAACCATTCCAGCCTTGTGGTGAGCACCTACACACGGACACAAGCATCAGACTTAAAACAAACCTAGAAACATGAGGCTCTGAAGTAACCCCTGGGAAATCAAATTGTACCACATTAAACATGCCCCTAAAAATGCTGAAAGGCATCCATCTTAAATCATTTTAGTTTGCTTTGTTCCAAAGTGAAGCAAAAACACTGACTGCTAAGGCCATGTTGAAATTTATGGTATTAAAAGATCCTACCGCTGAGCTGGCAACCTCCCCTTCTCTCCCCTCAGTCTGCAACAACTTCCATCTCATCTCTGTGTTCCTCACCCAGTTTCTCTGGTCTTGAACATCTGAACCTTCCTTCCTCTGGGATCTCATTTTCATGTTTGCCTAATGGTGGGATTGAATTTCACTGAGCTGTGGGTCAGCGGTTAATGCTTTTGTTATTGTTGAGCGTACTTCTGGGTTTTGTAGTACATTACAGCAGGCTGCCTCTGAACCAGTAGCACTGCTGCCACTGCCTTTGACCTCACCAAGGAGACACATTTAGTATCAAAACACTGGCTCCCTGGGTTAGGACCGGCCTGGGGACTTGGGGAAAAAACAGCAGAGAAGTCCAATCTTCTTATGGCTACAAAAAAAAAAAAAAAAAAAAAAAAAAAAAAAAAAAAAAAAAAAAAAGAAAAAAAGCATGGGGTAGATTCCGCACAGGTTTTGGGTCTGACTCAGCTGAAAAATTTTAGCTTGAGGTCTTAGTATGACTGCCTGGGGAGTTTTTATTTTCAGTTCATAAAGAGACAGCAAGCATGGAGAGGGTAAATGTTAAAGACCTATCTTTTAAAACAAGCACAATTAAAGTGGAATGGCCACATGTGGTTCTGGCTCTACTGAAGCATATTTTTGCCAGCATTTCTGGTTAAACGCAATCTCCATCCAGCTCCCCTGGTTCAAATTAAGCCACAGCATACCTTTAGCTAAGCTCTCAGATAGATAACAGCTCCAATGCTTTTTCTTTTATTTTGTGTTTATTTGCTTAGAAGGTTCTAAACTGACCTTTAAAGGGATGTTACAATACAACCTGTGCACATTACAGAAAAATATTCATTGAGTTAAAATAAACTAAGCTTGAAGAATTAATCTCAGACTCTGTGAAACTGTCTTGAGTAAAAATGAAGGTAGTTGTCCTCTACCCTCCTCACTTCACCCTATTTGTAAGGAGCAAATGCAATTTAGCAGAATTAATATTGTTGTTGTATTGTCATTCCCAGAATAGTTACGCTCTGAAAGTGCCAAAAGGGTAATTTTATACATTTATCTACAGCACAGATCCAAATTCTGAATTAGTGTATGTGAGCAGTGCTAAAAATGTGTGTGCTCCTGACAATCTGCTTTGCTTGGAGGCTAAAACAGGCTCTTCTCTTTGCTGGAGACCAGGAAGGACTTTCAGATGCCTTTGGTGGCCCACCCATTATTCAATACAAAGTAGAAAGCAGATCACACAGCAGGAAGCTCTGGGAAATTAAACTGACGGCCACTTAGCTAACTTTAGGTTCCTTACTCATATGCTACTGCTTTAACTTAACACTTTTCAGATAGAATTTAACATGCTTGGTGCATGAGGATTAAATGGCTTTTCAGTTATGTCTGACTAACAACAGGGCGTAATAGTGCTGTGATTAAATTACTTCAGCTAGGAACAAAAAAAATATGGTACTTAACTATTTTTAGTGGGGTATCATGCCCATAATCTTACCTTTATTAAAAATAAAGTAAGATTTTATTAAAAACTAATAAAATTCTCACATACGATTCCATACTTTCTCTATCTGTCTGCTCCTTCAGGAGCATCCTGATTCTCCACATTAACATACCATGCAGCTAGAGCTGGCCAAGGCCTTTGGAGACCCAGATTCAAGTCTCTGGCAAGACTTGGTGTGTGATCCTGACAGGTCACGGTCTGCTGGTGCCTCGGTGGGGATAACAGCACTTCCCTTCCTCACTGTGATGTTTGCGGGGAGCTCAGCAACTACAATAATAAGGGCTATATAAAAAGTTTTTAATAGTGTCAAGCAGATGGAATATCACATGGAGTTAGTTAGGAAATTGTCATGGTGAAGTAATGACATCAGGCTGATCGGGCCCACTACCAAGCTGCTTGGGGCAGGGACTGTCATTAATTACAGACCGCGCGGGACGGGGCGGCTCGACACTGGGAAGGAAAATGGAGCGAGGACAAGGTAACTGCTCCATCCCAAAGGCTGCTGCAGGCAAGGAAGGATGGACCACTCTGGTGGGCACGACCCAGAGACCCCAGTGACACATCAGGTACACAGTTCTGATGGCAGAGACTGCCAAGCCCCGGAGTGGGACATGGAGCTTGACTTCAAGGGCAGGGTTGGCTAATGCCTGGCAGGAACGATCCAAGTCAGGCAGTGTTCTACCTAGAGGCAGTGCTGCCTCTCACAGTCCCTTTTGCACTGGGAAAGCCCAAGACAGGAGCTCTTGGGGCTCTGTGTAGTACTCAGCACAGGCAAGTGGAAATGCTCGGTTTGTGCGACCATTCCAGTTATCTGCTCATGGTCCAACGAGTGAACGGACATTTGTCCCCAGTTAATAAAATGAAGAGAATGTCCATTTTTTTACGGAGATACTTCTTGGTGTCATGTCTAAGCTGACCTACAGTATTATTAGAAATGTGCATTTCTGGTAAAAAGATTAAAGAGGCCGCCAAAAATAAAAGTGAGTTTGAACTGCATGTGAAGAGAAGACTATGCTCACACTGTGCTACTGCATTAGCTCTGCAAGGGCTCTTCCAAGACCCATCTAGCAGGAAAGAGTTTGTCTTTATTGCAATGCCAGCATCCTTTCTGAAGAAAATAGGGTTAGTGTTCCAAAGCTAATAGATGAAATTTGATTTTTTTTTTCTTGAGGGGGATAGTCTTCTGTCCTTATTTTTACATTATTTCCCATGTTTATATTTCACACTGTTTATTTTTAGGTGTACACAATTTTATTACTGATGCTTTTGGGAAAGCAGTGTTGTTTGCCTTCCTTTAAAAGCTATGTCACTTCATTCAGAACTACTGACTCAGTTTCTTTGAAGTTATGACATTTCTAATTCAGACACACTGGTTTCTTACTCAAATGATGCATCTGCTCTAAATATTTTAAGATAAAACACTTTTCCCCTCTTCATTTAAAAGGATTATTCACAATGTTTAGACTTTCCATTAAGATGATTTTAAGAGGTTACTCATACTGGCTGTAAGCTACAGTTCTCCAAGCCCCATGGGATCAGATAATTATAGAAGTTCCTAATACAAAACCAGCGTAGGATTTTTGAGGGTTCCAAGTGTGGACAGTATATAAAGGCAGGAAGATATAGTCCATTGTTACGGGTTGTGTGACAAAGCAATGAAATAAACCCTGGAGAGAGAATCTGGCACATTGTTTGCATTACAGAATAACACACCTTGCAACACCCATCTCTGAAAAAGGGAGGGCAATAGTTCAGTACATATCAATGTGTTTCTGTCCATCTGTAAACCACAAAAACCCAGCAATTCACAGGGATTTTGTGAGGATAATTTTCAGTGCTGGTGATCCAGGTGGGACTTGCACTGTGGCAGGGTTTAAGCCCCAAGGGACAGCCCTGCACGCAGGAAAAATGTTCTGCCTGATATTTCAGGTTAACTCTCCAATAATCAGATGGGTATTTTAACACCCTCCTTGGCCTTCCCGTCATGTTTCTCCCTCTGTCAGGACAGACATGAGGTGCAGGGAAATGTACTGTTTCTCTTCCCCACAGAGAAGCTAAACAGAAATGGGAACTTGTAAAAATACCAAACTACGGAAAAAGGGAATTTCTCTGCAATTTTGGCAAGTAAGGAGTCCATCTCCCTCCTCTCTTCTTTATTTTAATACCATTTCCAGTTCTGGAAAAACAACCAAGACAGAGAGTAAGTGAGGAATGACTGTAGATATAGAAAATATTCTGAAGCAGTTGCTCTTCCTCTGCCCATCATATTTATTACTTTCCTTCATTCACTCCCTACTTGCCAAAGCAAGGGCACACTTGCAAGCACTGCTAATTATGGAATTGAGAGGATTTTAGAAAACTGATACAACTTATATTCTAATAGCTCCCAGGCAGTGAGGGAATCAATTACTAAGTCCCTGCTGCAGCTACATTGCTTTCTTATTTCTTGTATACTCCTTTGAAATATCTTGTAAAATGATCTTGACAAGAGGTCTTGAATTGAAAACCGAGGGTCTGTCACTGCACTTTCATGATGCACCTGTACAGCATCTTCAATCACCAGCAACAAAGAACTTTTCTTTATTAGGAAACTTCACAGATGTTGTATTGCTATCAGAGACAAAATGAGGCATGAGGCCTGAGGCCTTCACAGAAAACCATTACAGCCATTAGGACTGGTTTCATTTCCTACCTGCCCAAACAGATTGTTTTCATTTTGAAGGCTGTTGTGGGTTTTCAGGTTAGTGCTAAACGATCACTTTAAAATTAAGCAGTCTTGAGAGGCTGAGTAACACACCAGGATACTACACAAAACTCTATCACAAATCCAAGACATGTAACAAACTTGGGTGATCTAATTTCTGGAGTTTATTTATGTTTTTCATCTATCATGAGTATAAACAGCACGGGATCTATCAGGCATGCTAAAGGAGCAGGCAGTGAGGGTAACAGCTGAGAAACATTATCAGAGATACACAGAGAAAGATTTCTTTTATGATTAATGCCACATACAGTCCAGGCAGTCAGACAGGAAGTCAGACCAGAGGGGTGTTACATCAACCACT